TTTTGTGTGGGATAAGGCATCCTTGGTTCAGCGCATCGAGAACTCGCCGACTTTTAAAATGTGGTTCCAGGAGTGCCAGCCATATGCCAGGGCCACTTTAGATGCTCGCGTGAGGTCTCTCAAGGCTGCCAAGCATCGAATGGCGAGCCATGAAAAGCCGCTATGCCGGCTAGTGCTGTACATTGAGCCTCTCATTCATGTGGCTCTGCGCATCCGCGCAGAGCGAAGCCAAGAAGATGTCTCTCACGATGCCAGCCGGTTCCTGGCAGCGCTGTCGGCGGAGAGCTACCTCCAGCTGGCTTTACTAGCTGACGCAGCTGTGGAAGTCGGGGACCTCTTGCGGGTGGCAGACGCGGGTGCTGGCATGAACACGGCGGAGCTCATCACATGCGTCCAAGACTTTGAGAAGCGCATCAGTTACTTGTTCTTGCACGGCGGGGTCTTCAGCTCATCCGGCTTCACTGCGTGGGCGCTCCACGTGCTGCGACAGCGGTACAGCTTTGCAGTTGCAGGCACGCAGCGGGAGTTTGGGGGCCCGCAGTTGCCAGGCGAGGCAGTCAAGGAGCGGTGTCTACGCCGCATGCAGGCCTGGCACAAGGTGGTGAACTCCGTGCTCCACGCCGTGTTCCCGGACTGGGAGCTTGCTGCGGCGTTCCATGTGTTTGCCTTGGATGGACCAGAGGACGCCAGGCGACCAACGCCAGGCAGCGAGGCAGAGAAGCACTTCCTACGTCTGGCAAAAGCTTTCCAGTTGGACGCAGGCGAGCTTGTTCGTCAGCTGCTTGCCACCCAAGTGCCTGCGCGCAGGATCTTTGCCAGCAGATGCTCAGAAGCCTCGGCGGGTTTTGGCCCAGCGTGGGCGCAAGCCGTGTGGCACGCGCAGAAGTTGGGGAGGCCGGTGGCTGCGCTGCAGGCATGCTTGCAGCGCTACTTGGCCTTTGCAATCAGCACCTGTGGCCTTGAGAGACGCTTCTCGCGGCAAGCGTGGTCTTTTGGAAAGTCTGCTGACCACCAATCCCTGGCGCTGCACGTGGCCAAAGCGAAGCTCCTGACGGATTACCAGGCGGCAGAGGAAGACGCCATCATCCAGAAGGCCTGGGCTTTTGTTATCTTTTGTTTTTGTCTTTCCTTTTATGTTTGCTTTGCCCGCGGGCAGGCGCAGGAGGTTTGGATGCAGCGGCACAGCCCAGCCAGGGAGTCCACTGGCCCTAGGTTTCACAAGGGTCAGCGCCAGGGGCCTCGAAAAGGCCGCACGCTGGCGGGCTTCTTGCGGCGCCGCAGGGAGGCTGTTTCAGAAGGTTGCAAAGCAGCTGGCGCAGCTCTTTCCACCGACCCGCTTCCGGCAGACAGGTTGGGGGATTTCTGGACAGAGAAGCACGCAGAGGAAGTTGCTTTCCAGCAGCAGAAGCAGGCCTGTGTTCTTGTCCCATTTCTTGCAAGTTGCGCGCGCGCGCGCGCCAAACCATGTCATTGCGGCCCTGGCAGGTGCGACTGGCCCAAGAGGCTCATGAGCTGGGAGCCCTGCTGCCCGGAGATGTGCCAGATGAAGTTCTAGACGCAGCTCCTGAAGCAGAGCGCCGGCGACAAGCCAATGCTCGTCAGCGGGCGCGGCAGACAAGCAAGCGTGCGGCTGCTCTACAAGGCGCATTGCCAGACCTGACAGGGAGAGTTGTGTTCGTGCCGCCGGGCATGCCCTCATTGCAGCGGCTGGCAAGTGAGCGCGGTTTCCAGCTCACCGACCGCAGGGCTCAGGCCACCGTGTTTCTTGCAGAGTCCTTGGAAAGCATGTCGGAGAGAACTTGGGCGGCAGCGGTGCTTTGCGGAGGCAGCGTCATGACCTGGGACACCTTGCAGGAGATGCAAGGGCCGTGCGTTTCTTGGCAGAAGGCCTTGGACACAAGGCGCCGCGTGTACTGGACCCAGGCAGCTCAGAAGCACAGCCCGCAGCTGCACCAGCTGGTCGTGGAGATGGCGAAGACGGCGAGGCGCTGGAAGATGCTGGATGGCCAAGAAGACTTCGAGCAGCAGAAAGTGGAAGCGGCCGCCAGGAAGCAGAGCCCCGCCGTTCTCGCCGTGACACGGCCGTCAGAGAAGAAAGGTCTTCTTGAAGTGCTGGTTGCACGTGGTGCCAAGGGACAAAGGTCCACGCTCAGCACTCACATCCAAACTCCCAAGGAGTTTTTCCAGTTCATTGCAAAGCAAGATCCACAGCGATGTTGCACGGGTGTTTGCGGATATTGAACCTCCTAGCCAAGTTCAAGAGCGAACTTGCTGTTGTCGCGCCTGGGGATGAGGCAATGCAGCAAAAAGGTGGAAAGCGAGCGCAGTCGCAGCAGGCTCGTCTTAAATCGCGAGCCCCGGCCACCCTGGCCCGCCTTCGCAGCCGGGTGGGGAAACCTGCCCTTAACACAGGATGAGTCAACCCGCCCCGCGCTGACCGGTTTTTTTCTTGCAGCAAGGAACGTTCTTCAGCCCGAACTCACAATCAAAGTGTTCCGTAGCTGGGCTGGAACTCGCAAGCGCATGGGGGGTCATCCCCCCCCGCATTGACGCCCGCTTTTGGGGCACCCTTCTCAACACAGACTCATTGCCCCATATCGCAAGCAGCCAGGTGTTTCCCCCGCCGCACTGAGACCCACAGTCAGCGAACGCACCGTCGCACGGGCAGATTTAAGGGGAGCCGTCCGAGCGGTAATTCACAGTTGTGTCTTGTCTTTGTCTTCACTTTGTGCTTTGTCACTACGCAGCTGCAGCTGCCATGCTTGCAGGGCTTTCCACCTTGTCTTTATGTTTGTTTTTGCCAGCGTGCTGGCAGAGTTTCTTTTGCATCTGCCCTTGTCAACTTTTTGCACTTGCCTTTGTCTTTGTCCTTGAACCCTAAGTCTGCTCATGTCTCTGCCTGTGGCTCGAGGGAACAGAGGGCACACGGGCAAAGAACTGGTCAAGCAGCAGGCACGCGGCCAACTCAGCACCAAGCACAAGCACGACAGCAACCTGCGCAGACCCAGGACCCATGGCGGCAGCCATGGACTATGGCTTGTGGGTTGGCGGGGTGCCCGCCGGCATCCACAGCGGGAGGGTGTGGAGCTGGCTCTCGTGGGGGCGGTGGTCGGCGAGCCTCCAGGGAGCCGGCTGCCACTTCTCCATGCGCCGTCGACCGGGGCAGCCCGGGGCGGTGCTGCTGTGGTTCGAGCAGGAGGAGAAGCGGGACCTTGCGTGGAGCGAGCTGAGCAGTATGGGCTATGATGTCCGTGAGGTGGCGTCCCGGGCTGCGGAGGAGCCCGCTGAAAGGCCTGCCGAAAGGCAAGCGCCGCGTGCCGCGGAGCCATGCCCCCACTGCCAGATCTTGCTGAGGGCGCTGCAGAACATGTATAGCGCTTCGTACAGCTGCGCGGCAGCATTGCGCTTTTTGTCCTTTGTGGAGTCTGCGGTGTTTGCGCTTTGTTCTTAAGATCTTTTGTCCTTTGTCTGTACTGATGCTGCGCAGGGCGCACGCTCAAGGTGCCGTCGACTACATGGTCGCGAGCCGAGAGGCGGTGTACCGCCAGCTGGCTGCGGCCGGGTACGCGGTGCTCCCAGGACGTGCCTCAAAACAATCGATTTTGGAAGGGCCTGCCAGTGACTTGTCATTGTTGTGTTTTCCAGAAACCCATTGTGCCTTTTGCGCGGCCATCTTCTGTTGGACGGAGTGTTTTCTGAGTCCGCGCCACTTGCTGCTTTTCATCAGCTTCTGGCAAGTATGGCTGGGCGATCCTTGTCCGGCCCTGGAAGGACCCACGTCTGCTGCGGCTGGTCCCGACACAGAAGGAGCGCTCTTTTCAGTCGAAGCCTGTTTGAAACGGCCCTCGCTAGCAGGACGCGCTCCCACAGTTCCTGGCTCAGAGGCTGCCGGAGGAGGGCCACTCTTTCAGTCGAGTTCTGCTTGAAATTGGTCTAACAGGACACCCTTCCACGCTTCCTGCCAAAAGCACTCCTGCAGAGACCCACACAGGAGAACCTCAAAACTTTTCAGTTGCGGCCTCTCTGAGAGTGACCTGGCAGGACGTGCTCCCGCAGTTCCTGGCGCAGAGCACTTCATAGGAACAGGAGAGCTGTTCTTTTGAGTTGAAGTCTGAATGCGAGCGCCCTGGCAGGACGTATCCACTCAGTTCCTGGCGATACTGCCCCTGCAGAGCCCCGCGAAGCACCAGGCTTTTCGGTTGCAACGAAGCACCAGGCTTTTCGGTTGCAATCCATGCCAGTGTCTGTGTGACATTCGCGGCAGGCGCTGGCACCAATACAGGCGAGCATGGTCAAGGCCCGCTTTCCCAGAAACACAATACACGTCACACTCCGTGCCCCGCATCATGCCCTGGTACTCTGCTAACGCGCTTGCCGCGGCCAGGATCTGAGCCGCGCCCGCACAAGCGCCCATCAGGCGCATAACCAAGTGCCGCCGCTTAAACTTGACCATGTGCACTGGTAGGAGGAGAAGACACGCAGCCGAGCAAACATGCCAAAGTGCATCACGGAGGACCGCCCCAATTTGTTGCAAGCCAAATGCGAACCCTGCCCTGTCAGGACATCCACGACCTGGCCGTGACCCGCAATTCGACCCGGAGATCTAGGCAAGACACTGCCCGCTCCCTTTTGGGAAAAAGATCTTTGCGCCGCTCCCGGCACTTGTGCTTTGTCTTTTGTACTTGCATCGTGGTCGGCTGCGGCTGCGTTTGTGGCATGTCCTGCTAGCACCTTTCGTCATGTCCGTTCGGCATTGCCAGAGAGCAAAAATAGGCAAAGGCAAGGCAAACCTGCCCTCCAACCCTGAGGCCACGAAAGAGAATGACAATCATGTAAACGTTGCGACAACTTATGTTTGCTTTTGCTTCGGTCCTCGATATGCAAACTGAGGGCTCTCCTTTGTCGTTTTGTCCTTCGAGTGGGCACTTGTGCTTTGTTTTTGGCTTTGCCCTTTGTCGAGTGGCAGGGCCGCTCTTTGTAGATGCGACGGCATCAGGGCCTGCACGAAACAAGGGTGCTGTCATCTGGCTTCACCTCGACGACTCCAGTTGTTGCAAGTGTTGCCCTGGCCATGGCATCTTTTGTTTCTAGCGCGTGATCAGTCTAACAAACTAGTGATGTATTTTGATCTTGCACCTTCGGCTTCTCCTTCTTCAGCCGCTCCCTTGCAAGCACGCCGCTGCAGAGCATTGGCTGTAGGCTAGGCAGCTGCTTGGTTAGTCTGGCCTGTCCCAGATGGAGGCGCTGGAGCTCCTCGAGGCCGGGCTGAGCACACAGCCCGCGCCAAGCCGTGGGAAGAGGCCAGCTGCTGACGCGGGCTTGACAGCGTTGGGGCCACAAGGCAAGAACTCGCGGATCGCGAGCGCGAAGCTTGCGGACACGCTGCCAGGCGCTCTGCAGGCAAAGGCCAAGGGCAAGGCACCGGACAAGGAGGGCCGCGAGAAGAAGAGCAAGCTTCTTCGGGGCGCGGCGGACAGGAAGACCAAGGGCAAGGCTCAGGTCAAAGGCGGCCGAGAAAGCAAGGGCAAGGTGTTGCAGGGCGCAGGGCGCCAGAGACTGAAGAACAAGGCTCAGGAGGAGATGTCGACAAGGCGGGAAAGAAAGGCTGATCAGGCGGCGCCCAGTGCGGCAAAGCCACCACCTCAGCGTGCTGAACAGTCGGACCAGCCTGCGCTTTCCAGCAAAGTGGCGCAAAGGGACAAGCCCTTCTGCTACAAAGGAGCAGTAATGGGCTACAAGGTGCCTCCAGAAGCAGGGCCTCCTCCGGGCCTTCAAGTACGCTCGCTCGTGGAAGGTGGCGGTGGATTTTGCAGGCGTTGCCACGTCCAGCTTGTCACTACAGATGCTGGGCGTTCCCTTCCGCCACGTGTGGCTGTCGGACAACGACGCTTCCTGCCAACGGATGCTGCGAGAGCACTTCCATGGCCAGGCGCTGGGCGACGCAAAGAGCATGGACTTGAAGCAGCAGGAGCCCCCCGAGATCTATTTTGCCACTCCCCCTTGTCAGTCCTACTCCGTGTTAGGCAGTGGGGACGGCGAAGCTGACGCCCGTGGCGTCCTGTTGTTCCACCCGCTCAAGGTCTTGCGGCAACATCGCCCGTCACTGGCTTTCGTTGAGAACGTGGCTACGTTGCTCACGAAGCACAAGAAGTCCTTCCAGCGCTTTGTGCGCGCTGCGGAAGACATCGGCTACTGCGCAGTGAACAAGGACCAATTGAATGTCACCTTTCATTTGAGGTCTGGTTTATCAGACTCGAGGTTTGCGCCTTTCAAGGAAGAGCGCTGACTAACCCGCTAGCGTTTGCAGGACAAATGCCTCTACCAGTGCAACCAGCACGGCTTGCCTCAGAGTCGCCCACGTGTGATCTTGATCCTCGTCCGCAACGACAAACTGCGTCCAGGCGTGTGGCAGCCACCAGAAGAGTTCAACCACCACCTGTCTCTATCTATGGTGGCAGAGGGCCGCCGCGAGTTTCCGAACCTTACTGAGAAGCAACTGACGCACTAACTTTATTTAGCACGTGTTTGGGATTTGCTTACCCCAGCGGCGAAGAAACTCCCCCGGACTTGTGCCAACGGAAAAAACGCTTGCTGCAGGAAACTGGTGCAGCATGCAGAAGAGCATCAGCAGCTGATGGGCAAAGCGGATTCCAAGGAGTTCCTGGTGGTGGACATCGGCTGCTCTATGCAGTTTGCGCAGTCGAGGCTGGGCTGCGCTCCTTGCTTGACAGCGGCGCGATGCAGCAACACGAACGGCTACTACATCACTGGGCTGGAGCGCGCGATGTCCAGACAAGACATTCTCCGATGCATGGGGATCCCAGTGTCATTTTACCGCGCCTCCCGCGCCAAGGTAACAAGAGGCAAGTTTGGGCACATGCTCGGCAACGCAGTGCCTTGCAACTTGTGGATGCGCATCATACCGCGTGCGATGAAGGCTGCGGGAATGGTGAGTCCCCAAGCGCACGTGCCGGATTATTGGTGCGAGCTGCTGGCTTGGGCTCGGGCCCGCGGCTTGACCACGCCTGTGTAAAGACCTTGCAGCTGAGCGGCCGGCTTATAACCCATCGTTAAAAAGTGACGGCGCTGAGCTGCGCGTCTCTGATGTTTGCACTTCGCGCTTTCGAGTTTAACGTGTTTGCGTGCCAGCACGCGCAATGGAAACAAGCGCTGCCGGCAAATCTCGCTGGCGACTTCTGGCTCACGGGCGATTTCCTAGTTTCACTTTGGGGGAGTTCGGGGCTGGAGCCTTCCCGCAAGGGTTTCTCACGCGCTTTCGTCCGCTGAAGCTGCAGACAGAAGTCGGAACAGCGCTGCCTGCGCAACAAACTAAGCTAGTCGCAGAGACCTGAACCAAACTGGGCCAAACTCATCGGCAGCGCCCGCCTCCTTTCAGGGCGGCTGTGGCGCATGCGGCCGTGTCGTATGGACCTTTGGGGCCAGCGCGTGTGGCCGCGCTGCCCGAATGACGGGGGAAGCCTACAAGAGAGGTTAAGTCACGCTCGTATAAGAGCGGGGCGCAGGGCTTATGCGCCTGCTCGGGCTCCCGCGCGGCCAATCACTGTGCCCTTCACAGTGCCTGCTGGCTGAAGGCCGCCCTGCATGTCTTCAGCCTGCTTCCCCTTTCGGATTTGTTCATGTGTCATTTGGCGGAGGCCGCCCAGGTGTGTGGCCTGCTTCCCCTTTCGGCTTTGTTCCTTTGTCATTTTGCGGAGGCCGCTCAAGTGTGGTCTGCTTGCCCTTTCGGATTTGTTCCTTTGCCATTTTGCGGAGGCCGCCCGGGTTTGCGGGCCTGCTTTCCCTTTCGGGTTTGTTGCTCTCTCAGACATGCAAGGATAATAACGGGAAGCCCCGAGGAAGCTGTTCGGCGTCTGCTCTGCTCAGCATTGGCGCCAATTCCCAGAACTTCCGCGCTGCTACAGGCGGCTCCTATGGCCCCAAAAACGACGCCAGTTTTTCGATGCTTCTGGAGGCCTAAAATTTCGGCGCTTCTAGCAGTCCTGTCTTGAAACCAACAAGCCATTGCGCGGACATCACGCGCAGATGATGGCTGGAGTTTGTGAAACGAAACCTGGGCTAAATTTAGCCTCAATTTAACCTCGTTTTTCTGGAAAAGTAATCTGAAACGAGGTTAAGTCAATGTTAGATCAAGATTAAATTTAGCCTGCGTTTAACCCGATCATATTAGTTGGGGGTTCTTGGTCAGAACCCGTCAAATTGTAAACATGATTTGACAGCGCGTCTCAAAACCTCCTTTTCGCTTGGCGCCACTGGAGCCGTTTCGGCGCTTCTCCCTGGAAGTGTCATTTTTGGCGCCGTGACCGCTAGCAGTTCGGAAAGCGGCGCGGCTAGAGGCTAAACGGGTCAGCTACACGGCAAACGCGTCATCTAGTGGCTCTGTAAAAGTACTAGACGGGACGGCTCATCTCCGGCTAGCAGTGCGGAAAACGGCGCTTGTGAAAACGCTGGGTTCTAGAGCGGCGCCGCGCCAGCCACGAAAGTTTGTATCATGAGCTTAGCGCCTCATGCCCTATCCGGCAACGAGCAAGAGTCGGGGGAGGCAGTGTGATTGAAGATCGCGCTTTTCACAGCAAGCAAGATTTGTGTAGGCTGTTCGCCTTGGGCCACACCGCTTCTGTCGTTCGCTCACACTTCTGAATTGCGCGTGGTTCAACCCACTGCTAGCTGCAAAGACCCGTTCAAATTGCACTTCAAGGACCACTGTTCACTTGACGCGCAGGCGATTTCACTGAGGCCTTGTTTGCTTTAGCAGAGCCAGAAAAATTGCCAGCCGGCCGCTGCCGTGTAAATCGCTGCCAAAAAGCTTGTCAGCGGCTGCGCCCGCCCCCGCTGAGGATGGTTGCGCATCTGGCCGCGCGCGCAGCCGTGTCGCCGGGAGCCTTGGGGGCCAACACGCGTCTGGTTGCGCTGCCCGCGTGACGGGGAAATCCTGCGAGACAATTTAAGCCATATGATAGGCCTTACGCGTATGAGCAGGGCGAAGGGCCTATGTTGGCCATGCCCCTTGAAAGCGCCTGCTGAAGATTCGGCACGCGCGGCGCAGTGGAGGTCGTTGCAGCGACAACACCGGGGGCGCCCTGCAGGTCTTCAGCCTGCTTCCCCTGTCGGATTTGTTCCTTTGTCATTTGGCGGAGGCCGCCCAGCCTGTGGCCAGCTTCCCCTTTCGGACTTGTTCCCTTGTCATTTGGCCTTTCGTTGTCTTCACGTCAGGCTGCTGCTGCTCATTTAGCCGTTGTTCTTTGGGATTTTTGTCATTCCTTCATCTTGAGATTTTGCGGCCTGAGCCCGGGATTGTGTTTGTGAGGGTTTGGCTCATTTCGCATTGCCGCGTTTGGCGGCCCTAGGCTTTCATTTTTGCCACGCGGCGGTCAAGCCATGGCCAAAAGACCGCGACCAGGCCCAAAGCGAGCTAGAGGCAGCCCGGTGAAGGCCCTTTGTGCATACAAAGCTTGCAAGAGCGGCTTGGATGTCAAGAACACGGGCAAGCAGCTGTGCCTGAAGATGACGCACGTGAAGCCAGAGATGTGCCGCCCCATCCGAGGCAACAGCAAGTGTGCAAAATTCTGCTGCGCGACGCACATGCGTCGGTGCCGCAGCAAGAAGCCCGCAGGCAAGAAGAGAGGGCCGCGGGAGCCCTTGTCGGAAAATCAAGTGGTTGCTGTCTTCAACGCCCTGTTGGAAGTGGGCGCCCCTTGGTGCGCGGCTCTGGTACTCTTGCAAATAAGCCTGGCCGAAAGAGCCAGCGCCGTGATCAGCTGTCAGTACAAATGGCTGAGCCTGGGCCCAGACGAAGAGGCTTCCGTGTCTGTGCCCCGGGTGAATGGGAAGACATCGGCCAGAAAAGTGCCTCTTGCTGAGGGCATGGCTGCCTTGCTGCGCCGCTGGCTACATGGCAGCCCCCTGCAAGGACATGGGGGGGCACAGTGGCCCTTCCCAGATCAGCCAGACTTGCCAGACAGCTTCCTCTTCCCAGGCGCGGCTTTGTTTGGTTTTGATTCTTGTTGGCGTGAGGCGTTTAGTTGGAAAAAGACATGCTGCTGCTTTGCCCAGGCCTCCTCCTGGGGCAAGGCCAAGGAGGTTCCAAAAGGAATTGGGGTCGGCCAGTGACGAGACGGGCCTACTTGCTCCGCCTTGGCGACGCTGTGCAGCTTTTGAGGAGACAGCGGCTCCACGCCAAACTGGCAGGGGAAGCTCATGAGTTTCACGGGTTCGGTTTGAACGGTATAGGCACGCACTCGTGCAAAAAGACTTCTGTCACACTGTTGAAAGTTGCTGGAAGCTCAAGCGCTGTGATTGCGAAAATCGCGGGCACCAGCGCTCGAACTCTGGACGCAGTGTATGATTGCGCAACAAGCGCGCGGCAAAAGGCCGCTCTCAACGCTGGGCTGGGCAACATTTACAGCCAGGTGCATTTGCGAGGCAAAGCTTCGCCGATGCCCGCGCAGACCGAGCCGAGCCTGTCAAGCCGAGGAAAGGCTCTCGCCGCGTTCTGCCCACGGTGCGGCGCAGCCCGCAGTGATGCGAATTGGCTGTGTTGCCCGATGTGTGGCGCCCCGTATCCTTTGATGTGAGGCACGGATGGTGCTTTTCGGCTTGGAAAAAGCGCGAGGGAGGCGATGCGGCTTCCACCAACAAGACGAACGTTTGTTAGTGATCCAGACTCGCAGGCATTGAGCATGCCTGTAGACAAAGCGCCTTCTGTTTTGAATGAGACTACCGGATTTGAACCAGCCTTTGGCACCAGACCTGCGAGGGCGCGCCCTGCAACGACCGGCCGGGCCGATTGCGTTGGCTTCCCTTTTGGCTTCCCTGACCCCCCGGGTTAGGGAAGCTAAAAAGGGAAGGCATTCCGTGTGTCTTTTTCCATCACGCGCCCGCCCCCTAGATCAAAACCGAAGCGTCAAATGGCAGGATGCCGCAAGACATAAGACGTCGCAAAGCTGTGTCGCGGGTGAGTTTTTCATGCCTCTGGTAGTCACTAAGCTTGCTGGTCACATTGTCAATGGCGACCATCTGCTGCTTGGATTAGAAAAGTCGCCTCTGCGGCTTGCCCATGATCGCATGTCGCAAGAAAGCAAAGGTGGAAGCAACTTCTTCTGAAACACACTGAGGCTCCAACAGCTCCTCTTAAAGTCTGGGCAGGTTACTGCGCGGCAACTTCGCCCGCTGCGCGTTCGACGCCCCTGCGCTCGGCACGCGCGTAGCGCAGCTGAGGGACCTGGCGGTGCACTGCCTCCGTCAGCCGGCTCACGTCGTCCAGGTGCCGCTGCCCCTCCTGGGCTAGCCGGCGTTCCCCCAGCCAGGCGTTGAAGGCCTGCGCCTCCTCCAGCTCTCGCTGGCGCTTCAGCAGCAGCGGCTGCAAGTTGTAACTGGGGTACGTCCTGCGAAACCACTGGAGCATCTGAGGCTCGTTGCGAGGTTCTAGGGACATCATGGTTTTTACACTAGGACGCTAGCTCCCGCCGTCAGCCGGTCGTACGCCGACTGCCTCTCCAGCATGCGCATGGCGCGCTCGCTCGGACGAGGCGCTTCTACAGGCTCGGGCCGTACCTCGCTGTGTACCTCGGGCTCGGGCTGTACCTCGGGCTCTAACTGTGGCTCTAGCTGTGGCTCAGCCTTGGGCGCTGCCTTGGGCTTGGGCGCTGCCTTGGGCTTGGGAGCTGGCGCGGCAACTGCCTTGGGCGCAGCCTTGGGCGCAGCCTTGGGCGCTGCCTTGGGTGCTGCCTTGGGCGGTGCCTTGGGCGGTGCCTTGGCCGCGGGCGCTGCCTTGGCCACGGGTGCTGCCTTGGGTGCAGCCTTGGGAGCCGTCTTGGGCTTTGTGGGAAATCTCACCCTCTTGGGATGGAAGGGGGAGTCCGCCTCATAGGCCGGCTCCGTGGGCAGGTCGTCGATCATTTTTTTTCTCTTCGCCAGGTCGTCGATCATTTTTTTGCTCTTCGGCAGGGGCAGCTCGGGCGGCTTGGGCTTGTTTTTGCTGCCCGGGGGCCTGCCTCTAGGCCTTGGCGCCGGTTG